CTCGGTCAACAGGTGAGCGTCCCCTTTCTCCCAGTAGCACCCTTTGTCCCCATCTCCAGTCCTGAAGAAAGTTTTCCAAACTTTGGAGGCTTTTGCTTCCCTTCTTATGGGGACTTACCGGCATCTGGCTTTCTCTCCGAGGCTTCTGAGACTTGGGAAGCAAGAACCAAGAATGCCAGAAGTCAGGGAGGGACACGGTGAGCAAGGAGAGCCTAGAAAGTCTATGCTTCAGGAATTAGGTTACAATGCCCCGCGGGAGAAGAAGCGAGCTTGCCGGCCCAGGGCCTCTTCACCTTTAGGGGTCTGGTGTAGCTGCTCTGGCGCCACTAGCTTTCTGGTGAGCAGAGGGCAAAGAAAGGGCATCACTGCTGGGAATAGGAGAGAAGCGTCGGGTTGCACCCTAGGAGCCGACATGAGTGTGACTAGGTGCTGGGTGCAGGTGAGTGTGATTTCTGTCTTCAAGTCTTAACTAGTCCCGGTAATTTCCTTCGCCTGCTAAGGCTGGCCTCACCCGGAGTTGCTTTCCCTGTGCTAGTCGCCCCAGATTTCACATTGATTTTACTAAGCGTGGGTGGGGGCCACTGTAGAAGGCGCCGGTAAGTGTCCTAGAGATGCTTTGGTTTTGAGCCAGGTCTACCCCCAAACCCACGAACTTTCTTTTTTCTTTGGGGAGCTCTAATGTGCCAGCAAGGCTGCTGCAAACCCACCGGGAACCGCCCTGCCGCTGTGCACTGCAAACTTCCTCTGCTCACAGCTTGCCTGGTGCCTCCTGGTATTCCTTCCTCTCATTGTTCTGCTTTTGTTTATAGGAAGCCAGACACAAACGAAATCAATGAAGGAACCCCAGGGACCAAATTCCCCCCAGGCACAAACTGTTCCCATCTCTCTCCTCTCCCACTCGGGATTCTCAGGGAATAGACACTGTTCCTTAATTGCACCAGAGCTCCAGCTCTGGGATTCTGGGGTACTAGGAATGGGGCCAGGTGCTCCAGGCTCACCGATGTGTAATTCCCCAGTGGAGATGACTACCTCAGGTCCAAACCCAGTGTCACACACTCCCTAGAGTGGGTGCAGAGAGAAATATTCCCACAGTCAAAATCTTTTTAAATTCATTACTAATGGAGTATTTATTAAGTACACAGGGGAAATGAGAGGAAGGCTAGAGTAAAAGGAATATGGTCTTGGAAATAAGGTTGAAATTAAAGACCCTCATCTACCAGGGAGGCAAGCATGTGTAATTAATTTCTCAGATCCTTGTTTTGTTGATTAATAAAAACGTGAATAAGATCTACTTCTAAGTGTGTTGTGAAAATAAAGCACCACATTGTAGAGGAACTGACTAAGAGGAACTGCTTTCTCCTGTCACCAGGAGAAAGCATACATGTAGAATCAAGTGCCTGTAGGAGCTGGGTTTCTCGGGCAAAGCTAGGCAATAGGGCTTGTTTGTCATGCGTTGCTTTAGTCTTCTTTCATGGTTTGAAACACAGTGCAGATTGGAAGAGTTTTTCACTAACTTCCTAAAGGTTTCACTCACATGAAGAGCTATGTTAACAACTCAAGAAATCCTTGGGAGTTCTTTTAAGTTGTGTCCACCATGTGCAGGTCTCTGAGAGAGCCAGGAGTGGTATTAGAGCACACTATTTGGTCATCCCTTCAGTGGCCTCATTTAGAGAAACAGCTATTGGCTCAGTTAAAGTAATTTTGTTCCAACTAGAAAACTTCCAGGTCTGGATTCATGACCCAAAAGTACAAGGTTTTGTAGGCTACCTCCTTATCCAGTACAGAAGCGATGGAGGTTGGTCAGTATGATGTTCTTTCATGCCTTGGATTCTAGAACCCTGAACAGGGGCAGCAAGGGAATGAAGAAATGACAACACGTAGATACACATAGAAAAGCTGGGATATGGCACAGTGGGATGTCCTTGCTCTGATGGAGGCATGGAGCCACAGCACCCTTCAAGCTCAGTGTGTTTATTATATACAGTTGAACAAGGAGGCAGAAACAGGTGAGGTTATTATATGTAGCTGAACAGGAGGAAGGGTTGTCTAATCTCTGCAGGAGTGGTATCTGTATGGGAGCAGGCTGTGAACACCTGGTGAAGGGAGAAAGCTAAAGCAGGTGTTCTGCACACACTGTCAACATTTGTATTTGAACCCAAGGAAAGCTTGGCCATCCTTTTAAGCCTCACCCAGGGAAGGCTTTGCCAATCTCAGGGGACTTTGGTATTAGTGTCCTTGACATAGCCATGCCCATGTTAACAGCACAGTTCACTCAGGAAACCACTCACTCCTTACAGGTCACTTTCTGTTGAAGAGTCGGCTCCCTTCTTGTGGTAAACATAGTAGACCCCAGGCTTTTTGTCCACTGTGAGTGCACTGTGGTTTGAAAGCTCTACTTCTGGGTCAGTGTTCTCCCTTCTGTTCATCAGTTGGGATGGGAGTTTCCTTGGATTCCACAGTGAGCCATGGATGTGCTTGATTGAATGAATGATAGGTGTATTTTCTTTTCTTTCTTTTTTATCTTAATGGGAAGAAAGTGATTCCATTTTGGGGTCCTCTGAGGGCCTGGCACTCTTCAAAACTGTAAATGTTGGATAATTGTGATGCCAGTACCTGTGACTTGACTTTAAAAATCATATCTAAATATTTTGAATTGACTAGGTGGAAATGCCATTGTTCAGCTTGGTCAGATGAGGGAAACTGTTGGCTTCTCAGCCTCAGTCTTCTGATCTGTTCAATGGAGATCTTAATACTATATGAGGTTTTATGAGGGTTAAACATTACACATGTACTGAGAGGGCAGTGGGTTGAGAATGCTTTCTCAAGGTCATGCAGAGTGTATGTTCAGAAAAGGCTCAGTGGGTATGCTCTGTGTCTAGTGTGTGGCCCCAGAAGACATGGTAAAAGGGATTGCTTAGAGTGCTGATGCTGTGAGAGACTAAGAACCATCTGCTTGTCCTGCTGAGCCTGGTCCAGTGAGCTCTGGAGGAATTGAGTAGAAACAGCTTTGTTGCCCTTATAATATTAATTTTGCCACTTGCTTTGTTGCTGTGATGAAACACCGTGGCCAAGGCAGCTTATAGAAGAAAGAGTTTATTCGGGCTTATGGTTCCAGGAAGGTAATTGGCCATCACGACAGCAAATGGCACAGGAGTGGGAGCAGGAAGCTGAGAACTCATATCCTCAACAGTTAATACAAAGCAGATAATAATAGAGATAACAGGTAGCAGAGAGAGGCCTTTTGACTCTCGGTGCACCCATACTTCCTCAGCAAAGTCATACCTCCTAAACATCTCCCAGATAGTAACACTGACTGGAGATTTGTTCAGATAGCTGAGCCTGGGTGGGGGTGGGGGTCATCCTCATTCAAATCACTTAACCCTGCATGTCTGCAGAGAACACAAAGAACCACATGAAAACAATTCTTCTTGTACGAGAGATACAGCTTTTAGTGGGTTGAAATATTGAGTGATTTAAACTTTTAAAAGGCTACTTTAGGTACTTAGAGCAGTATCTTGTGGCCTATGGCAATGTTAAAAGAACGTCTAGTATTTTTTTTTTTAAAGAAAGTCTATATTTTAATGTGCCAGATTTGAAGAAGCTAGCTCACAAGGTTATTGGTTCAAGTTTGTTGCTTATCTGTCCATCAAAGGCAAAGACAATAGATCAACACTAAAGACAAGTAATATTCTCAAGAATTGGAATAGGAGGTGTGAATGGGCTCATGCTGCTGGACCACCTACTCTGGAATGTTGGAACGTTGCGTTTCACTTCTTAAGGAAAAACCTATGATAACAGCAGTCATATGTATTATAGTTTTAGATTGGTCAAGAAAAGCTGCAGCATAGACACACCCCAGTGTTTTCAGGTGGAAATTCTTTCAGATGAAGAACAACAAAACTTGAGCTTCATCTCAAATGCCTCGATGGTGCTAATTGTTGACTAACTTTTGAAGCTTATCAAGATTGCTTTTTTGGGGGATATTTTCTCTGAGTATCCAAAGGTTTTGATTCCCTGTGAAGTATCAGTATCAAGTGATAACTTACCCTCCTCATCCTACTGCATATCCCAATGTAGTAGGGCCCCTGAAAACACTGTCGAATCCTTTCTTGATAGCTACAGCTAGCTGTAGCTTGTTTGGGCCATTGGCCCAGAGCTCTAAGGAATTAAGATGTCCATAAATATATATTGTGCCCACTATATATGTCCATGTGTCCATGCAACATAGCATGATAAGTGTGCTGCATAGACAGAGATGTCAGACATTTGCTTTTCACGTTGTCAGGACTGTACATGAGAAAGGAGATGAAGGTGATGTCTACTGAGTGCTCAAGTATGCCAAAGGTTTTAAGCGCTGGATAGGAACATTGTCTCATTGTGGGTGATGTTATGGTGCTAGGGGATACTTCTCAGAGGAATCTCTTGTTTTGTGTAAGTTCATATTGCAAAGAAGGAGAAACCTTCTAGTTGGAATGCATAAAAATAATTGGGTAGAAATGGATTTATTAATTTTCTCTTGGCAATTGAGGTTCCTGATGTGTTTCAGGTGGAGCTCAACATGCTGAAAGTGTTTTTTGGAGACCAGTCTGGCAAGGAGTGCTTGTATTGGGGTTAGTGAGGGAAGACAGAGGATCACAGATGAAGGCAGGGGAAGGGTCTTTCCCTCCTAGCATTTTTCATACATATTACTACCATCCAGGCTTGATTTTTGATATCCCTTTTACCAGGGTGAAAGCTTTAGGCTCTTAGGTTATAGGGCTCTTGAATGCTCATGAACACATTCCTAGCATTTGCACTAGTACCTAGCACATAATCTGTGGCTACTAACTCTTTGTGAATGAACGAATGAATCACTATTCATGCTGGAGAAGTGGACAGAACATTTGAAGCTCTGAGAGACTTGAGGGACCCTGTACCCTAAGAGCAATGGGAAGCTACTGAAGTAATTCATGGCGAGAATAAGAAGTTTTAAGTTTTGGAGGTTCAAATTCCAAGGATTTTTTTTTGCCTCAGAAGTGATGATGAAGGGGGAGACATGGGAATGACCCTGTGTTCTTATAAAGGGTAAGAGGTGGAAGTGGCATTTTCTGAGAGGTGCAATTTGGGGAGGAGTATTAGAATTACAGCAGTTCTGCTTTATGTTAAGCTTGAGTTGCTTGGGTGAATTACCAGTGGGTATGGCCAGTAAGGGTGGATGCAATGCACTGGAATGCCATTAGGGGGCACTGTGATTTATTTCCCCGAGGGGGTTGGAGGAATGGTACAGCTCAATCCTTCTAGAGTCTGAGAACTTCACACCAGCTTTTTAAAAGAAATGCTGCCTTGAAACTCATAGAAACAGCTGACCTGAGCAAGGGAGAGCTCTTGGTCCCCAGACTGATAGCTGGGAAACCAGCATGGGACTGATCCAGATCACCTGAATGTGCATGTCAGTGAGGA